TGCCAGCTAATATTTATTTGCTCTATTGCGCCATTTACTGGTCAGAAGGAGAATGGCAGTACATCAATACATTTTTGATTAGGTTTCCATTTTTCATGATAGACATCAAAACAAATTTTACTGCAAGATAAAAGCTAAGTACTGAAGTAAAATATACTTGAATAAAACAAATCCTATTTTATAATTATAAAATCAATATTTTAAAATTCAATATAAGCAGTGAACCTAAACTTTTTATATATGGTCAATAAACCTCAAAAACGCATGAAACTTTTTCAGTGGGTCTTGGCGAGTTCTTAAAACATTATAAATAAAAAGAGCTTTTTTGTTGTTTGATATATTTGATACATTTTGCCCCTTTTAAAAAGATAATAGGAACTAAAGTCCAGACAGCCTTATTAAATTATATAGCCTTATTTTTTACATTGAACTGTTACCGAATCGTCATATAATGACCCAGTGTTGCATCATTGAATTTCAGTCATCTAATTAAGGTAAACATTTAGAAAAAGTCTTTAAAAGGGCTGAGCCAGTCTAATTTCTTGAGAATGGGAAATTAATTGAATCTATACACAGACATTTTATGAAAGGGGGCACCGTTCATAAAATGGACAGAGAGGAAGTTGTTTGGACTCAAAAATCACTTTCTGGAGAACAGCTCAGTTAAAACCTACAGCAACAAATCACTACGTCCTCCCTACTATAACACAGCAAGCTGCTGTGTTGCTCTGAGTATTTTTTCTCATTCACTAAAACAAACAAATGCTTTATGCCTTCTAATACAGTCAAAACTAACTACTGCCAACTTAGAACACTGACCACTGACCATCCGTATGGCAAGAAGTATAAAACCAAGATGGGGATTTGAACCTGCAATGACATCTCAATTTTTTAAATGAGGTTCTTTTTGCTTGGGACAAAAAGAACCTCATTTAACATTTAAAAAGAGGACATAATGAACATTGTAAGAAAACTGCAATGACATCCGTATATATGGCAGTCAAGGTTTCATCCCAGTGAACCACTGAGTGTGACTCCCCTCTATTACAGCCATGTTTTCTTTTCTAAATTCTGAAAAAAGTTTAACTTTTGAACTCAGTACAATTTTTTTTATTTTTTATGAGCAAATAGTATGTAGATGCAAGCAGTCGGAACGAGATTAAACGAAAATAGGGTTCACCTTACCCCCAAATTCCACTACCTCCGCTCCGGTCCGCCCCCGCCTTCCGCAGCCGCTCGCTTCCGAACTAAATTTTTACTGGTACCCGCTCTACAACGGCTCCGCTCCGGTGCGGATACCTGAGGTGGGCAAACAAGCATGCGCGGGATTTTCGAGATCTTGCGATACAGTCCGAGCAGTAAACGCGGAAGTTAGATCCAAACACCTGTTGTGTGGGAGAAACATCGGCATGAGCTGTTTAATCTGCCCATCATTTGTGTTGACAGATCAGCAGTGTTTGGATCAACAAAGTGTGACTACTTTGATAGTAGAAACTGTATTTATGGCTTACTTTTGTGCATTTAAACTTCAGCCGCCATTGATAGTTGTTAAAAGTTGTTAAACCTGTGCATATGAAACAAAAAACGCCTTTTGTTTATCGATTTATTGTGAAAAACGGAAATTGTGCTCGCTCCTTTTCCTGTTGGGCCGTTGTGATTTCTGTCCATTTACTGCGGAGGTGCTCCGGCGTCCGGCGAAAATAGGATCGATTCTATTTTTGCCGGAATAGAGGGCAGCGCACGGCGCCGCACTGCCGGATCACGGCCGCAGTAGTGGAATTGCTCTGATTGACTACAACGGGACCGATTTTGCTCCGGCGTTCGTGTCGGAGCGGAGCGGAGGTAGTGGAATTTGGGGGTTAGAACCTCATGAGGAGCCTAAGTGTGTTCAGTGTTTCCAATGTAGTTTTTATTAAACCTGCCCATCATATTTATTAAATTTGCACGCAGATCATTATGCAAGACCTTTGGCACAATAACAAAATGTATTTACCAGTTATTTTCCTGCACATTTATACATATAATTTCATGGGGACAGAAATGGATGGAAATGGCACCCATTCAGTGGAATGGTCCACATCACGTTCGTTTTATTTCAATAAATCAATCCATTGAGTTCTTTAATACTGATTGTAAAACCACAGAAGAGCAGCAATGTAGAATTCCATGGCAGGGAACCCGCTCATCACTCACTTCATGCTCTGATGTAAATTGAGGCTTTTAAATAGGTGCGCGTGAAGGGCACGCGCTACGGCACGGTCACGGGTGTTTCTGTGGAGATGCTCTTGTGCACTTTGGTATAAATTCGGGATAAAATAATCGTCAGAATTATCATTTTTAAAAATGATCATTAACCCCAGCCCTATATATAAAACAAGTTTTGTATCAATCACATGTATCAAAGCTTCATAAATCAACAATCCAAGATATTGTAATTCCTCCATTTCCACTATATCACAATTATTAAAACCCTCTTGTTGTGTTGTAACATTGTTGCTGTTGTTTTGTTTATTGCGTGTTAGCTCCCAATGTCAAATGTATAAATGAAGAATCGTGTAAAGCACCTTGAATTGCCATGTTGCTGAAGGTGTACTATACAAAAAAATGCCTGTGTGTGTTGGAAATAGGCAAGCCTAAAGGCCACATTTCCTCTGTTGGTTGACCCCTATGACCTTTGACACTTCCTAAGGTGCCGCGACTCTGACATTTTGCACAGTGAATGGCTCAACCCCCATGATGATCCGAATTTATTTTGAGATTCCTAGGTCAAAGCGTTTGAGAGTTAATCATTTTCCCTCCATTTTGTAATTTGGAACAAAAAAGTGAAATGTTGGCCTCTATACAGCAACCTTTGACCCCACTTAGGTTAAACTTAGCACAGGGGATGGCTCTAACCTCCCTGACAACATACTCAAACCTTGAGTTATTAGCTCCAAGTGTTTAAGCGTTATTTAGAAAAACATATTTAACAATGCCTCCTTTAATGTTGGGCTAACAAAGGAGCCGTTACTGACCCTTGCTGTCATGTACACAATAGGTGTGTTTCCACAATCGGAATTCCCGGTAATTCGACCAGAACGTCCCATACTCGCGTATCTCCACTGTAGCCAACCAGATCGTTTTTGGGGCCATTTCGGGGACCATCCGAGTCCCTGAATTCAGGTCTGTACCAAGCCCCAACCTCTGATTCTGAAGACTGTTCCTACCGTTGAAGTGACAACAATTAAAGTTCCCCATATTGGCTGGTGGCTGGCTGCAGAAAGGAACAAACTCCCATTGTTAATCATGCTAAGATCTTTACTGCCTTGTTAAAAAAATCATATTCAGTTTACCTTCATGACCAATCTGAGTCAGGTGATTTGTTTTATAACTCATCCATTTAGATGTAATTTAATCTTGATATTATGAATAATTAGGATTGTGGCTTAGACGTCAGCACTAGTGCTGGTTGCTATCGTGGCTAACAGCTACCCCGTAGATGGCTGAGGCTCGCCTGCTGCTCCACAAGGCCCAAACCTCGCAGTCACAGTAATACTGTGGTCGTTTCTTGGCTGGAGATAACCAGCAGCTGACACTGCCACCCTGCGAAGGAAAGATGCTCTAGATAATGAATATGATTAAGCTGATTTAATATTCTTTTGTTTATGCTTAGGATGCAGAGTTGCGGTTCTCTGCTTAAAATTGCCTGCCAAATCTTGTTAGGTCAAGGTTAGCACCGGGTTAGCTCAGTTTACAGTAGTTCCACCGGCTCACTGCTATGGTTGTCAACTGTCCGCTCACCCACTCAACATTCTCACTCTCACCTCCACCATCTTTAGTAGCTAAGATGGCGGCGGTGGAAACCACCCTTTATGCTTCATCTAAGCTCTTCAGCTATCTGTAACGTTATGGGGGCCCCATCCATCTTTACCCAAAAGCCAAAAAATCCAGTCAACTTTCCCTGTAGTTCTAATACTGAAAATACACCAAACATGATATGTATATGTCAGTTATATCACTGCACAGTTCTAGTAGGCCTACATTACAGGTAATACTCTGAACATCCACATTATGATACAGTGAAATTTTACAATAGCAGGTTGCTGTCATTTCCTAAAAGTAGGCCTTCATTATAACTTTTAATATAGTATTGTGGATTTTTATAGTATCATGCTGGTAGTGATTTGACTAATACATGATTTACTCTGAAATTATTATTGGTCATTATAATTTTGCACAGTACGCAATGAGTTGCTGCATTTTTACAATAGACTGCTATACTGGTTAAGGTTTATATAATACACAGCGAAACCACACACATTGTAAATACATTTAATGATCAGACAAAACTAAGAGAAAGGGAGGAAAAAAATTCTTTATTTTATTATTTTTTTGTATATTAGTTTCTTTTTATTTAAGGCATGTTGGGGTGTTGTGGGACAATGTAAGAATTTCAATTCATACTTTGAATCATAAATGTCATAATAAATGCATCTACAAAATATTTATGTTTTTAGTTTTCTAATTTCTAATTTCATTTAAGGTAATAATTTCAAAAAACATTTTTAATAAAAAAAACTATTTAAACAAATGTCATGGCTATGAAATATTAAATTTGGAGGTGCTTTGGGTTGCAAAGCTCATACATTTAACACAGATCCGGACATTTTAGGTCCCCACTATAACCATGCCCATCCCCCACTCTGCTTGCACATGTGAAAGCATGCTGTTAGCTAACTGCTGGCTAATGAAAAGGAGGCGTTGAATTTATCCACCCCTTCAGTATTGGCCAGGCTTCCATGAACACATAAAGCTATAAAACCATTACAGGAGCATCTGTCTGTCAACAGGAGTCTCCCTAATTAGTTTCATCTACAATAATGATTAGGTTTCTTCCTGCACAATCAAAAAGGTATGTGAAAAAGAATTTAAGTGAGACTGCCACGCTGGTGTGCGCTCGAGTTTAGATCGAGCGCTCCCTTTCAACATGAACATCTGCAGAGCGGTTGCAGTGGCAGACCCACACTGTGCCTCACGAAGAGTAGACATGCGGTGGAGAACCAAGTAAAATGGTAAGTTTTACTTATATTAAGCTGCTAGTTAATCATATGTTGCCTTAAAACAACTCGTAGTAAGAATATTTGTATTGTGGGTAACTGGCTGTGTTATTTGTGTGGGTAACTGGCTGTGTTGTCTTATTAAAGTTTTTAATTTAATTACTTAGTATATCTGATGTTGTTTATTATCTAAAATGTTGAACTTCATAAAAATTATTCCATGTTTAAAAAATACTGTTTTTGCTTAATTTCCTAAATGCTGCATTCACACTGCCCAAAGTGGCAGGAGCAACCAGATTCTATGTAAAGTCTGTGAGGTTAAAGTGCAGCTGCGTCTCTGCGGTGCTTTGCCCCAGATGAAGCATGCAGTGGTAATGCAACATAATATGCAGCAAACTGAACTTCTTTTGTGTGGAACACTGAAGTGTTCAATTTTGAATAACTAAAACATGAAATAGATAAAAGTTTAATGTAAAACATTTCAAACTAATTGGAATTATTTTTTACATTATTTAAGTTTTTCACAATTCTATTGTCACACAATTTTTTTGGTTTATTTCATAATATGTTATGTGTTAATTTAAATTTCAATACATTGGTGTTAATCACTTGTGAAACATCTACATATGTACATATCTTGTGTGCTCCAAGCTCAACTCAGGAGTAGGCTATGATTAAATTTTGATCTGCGTTTGAGTAAAAAAATTTTTTTTCAAAACTGTATTTAGAACTGCAACACTGGAAATGAAGCCATAAAAACAATTATTTGAATTCTTTTTTACATTATAACAGATTACTGATTGATATTTTGTGTAACTGACAGGAGAGTGAGCAGAGTTCCGGATCTGATGACGAATCTAAATGTGAAGGTATGAAAGGAAAAGCATGCATCCAAATGGAAATTAAGTTAGAATTGTCTTAACACTAACACTAAATGTATAACAGGGAGAGCTGCGGCTCATGAAGTGCAGCGTGCCTACTTGGATGAGTCTGTGTCTCCCAGGTCAGATACTGAAGTTTCTCCAAGCAAAATATTGAACCCCGGATGGCCTCCCAACCTACTCCTCACTTGTAAGTGCAACATCCAATTTAAATAAATGTTTGCAGACCCACAAATTAGTCAAGATAACCAATCAAAGCAATTTATCCAAATTTGTGGGGCAATGAATTTTGCTTGAATATTTAAGTAACAGGTCAGTAAAAATAAAGTACTGTGTTGTGTAGGTTACTTAAGCTATAAGCAGGTTTATGCTGACTTTCCCTACAAATGCCTTGAATTTTTGAGAAAATTACAGCAGGGCTGAGCTCAAATCATGGTGGTGGCAGCCTGTCACGGACAGTCACAGCAGCCACGAGATTTCCAGCAGACAGCCACGGGATTTTCAGCAACAGCAACGGCCATGGCCAGCCACGGGTTTTCCAGCAACAGGCACGGGATTTCCGGCAGCCAGTCGCAGCAGCCATGATATTTCCGGTAACAGCCACGGACGGCCACGAGTTTTCCAGCAATAGCCACTAAATTTTTGGCTGTCAGCCACGGCAGCCATGATATTTCCGGTAACAGCCACATACAGCCACAAGTTTTCCAGCAACAGCCACGGGGTTTTCAGCAGCCAGTCGCGGCAGCCACGGGATTTCCAGCAACAGCCACGAGATTTCCAGCAGCCAGCCATGGAGAGCCACGAGAATTGCAACGAAGCGAGAATTTTTTTTAGCAACAATTGCCACTTGCAATGGGTTGATTTATATATTTTTCCCAGAGTTTCTACTTTAAGTCCCGTGGCAGCCTCGTTTTTTTTAACGTAATTAAATCCGAAAGACTGATATTGAATTTAAAGTCAGACGTTTAGGCAACATAACCACATAAGAGAGACAAAAAAATCAATCAGTGCAGTGCCAGTGAAAATAATATAATTCTGAGCTGTTGTTGTAACCTCTAGGTTTCAGTGTTTTACATATGATTTCTGGGTTTTCACTGCAGGTGAAAAGCTTTGCAGTAAAATAACTTTACAGTTGGCATGATTATAATTTGTCTGTATCATGATATAATAACATTGCCATGATTTTTTAAAAGAACTTTATTGAACAAACAAAAGTTGTACAAGCAAATTCACAAAAGTCATAATCTATAAAGAACATTCAAAAACTAATAAAATAATTGGAGTGAAATTAACAAATTAAAACTGAAATACATAAGAAAAAAATATAAACCAAAATAAAAAATAAAAACCCACATCTGCTATTAAGATAAAATGAAATTTGAGAATTGAAAGTTTTCCAATATTTCAGATTTTTTTACATTGCCATAAGGAATAGTAACAAAATAAGTAATCAGATTAGATTCTTTGAAATAATTCAGCAGCAGAGACAAATACTCCATTTTGATTTATGTAGTAGTGAGCGACAGCAGTGCCCTGACCAATCACAAGCTTGCGCTCTCCGTCTTGACGGATGGATGTTTATAATAGTGGGGTCAACTCCGTACGTACTTGCGTGCCTGCCAGGGGCCCTACGCAAGGACGGATAATGGTGTTGCGTGTCTCCGCACTGATGCAGAGGGGGAAGCTTGAATTAGGCTTTAGGTCTCGTTGGAATTGGAAACCTCGTGGCTGCCGCGGCTGGCTGCTGGAAATCTCGTGGCTGCCGCGACTGGCTGCCGGAAATCTCGTGGCTGACTGCTGAAATCTCGTGGCTGCAGCAACTGGTGGTTGGGAAGCTCGTGGCTGTCCGCGGCTGGCTTCCAGAAATCTCGTGGCTGTCCGTGACTGGCTGCCACTGACACGATTTGAGCCTGCTGTCTCTCGAAATTTATTTGAAAATGGTAGATGGCCAGCATTTGTATAGCCCTTTAACTACTCCTTGAGGACCTCAAAGCTTTCTCAGTTTTACATAATATTTGCTATCAATTCTTTATGACTCCATTCCTAAATAAATAATTAGAATAAGTGTTTTGCATACAGTATAAACATTAGAAATTAACTGAAACTCCTACTGGTGTTTATTCTCATCTGTCTTTTTTTCTTCCTCAAGCTGGTTCTGATGAGATTGAAATTACACTTCTGCCAATCATAAGTTTAAGTATTAAGGGCTTACACAAAGGGGTAAGGATGTCACATGGGATTAAGCCTAAACATGGATTGCTATTAACATGGTTCAGATAGGACAGGGGTGTCAAACTCCAATCCACGAGGGTCGGTGTTCTGCAAAGTTTGTGTTCCAGTTTCAACACACCTGAATTATATGCTAAATTGCCTCCTCAGCAGGCAACTAGGTTATATGGGGTTATACTTCTGTCCTAATTGTGATTCAAGTGTGCTGAGATGGTATGACTTTCTGCCATTTTCAATTTAACAGTGCCCTTAGCTCTCAGACTGCAGGTTTACTGGTAGTTCCTAGGATTTCTAAAAGTAGAATGGGTGGCAGATCTTTCAGCTACCAGGCTCCTCTCCTATGGAACCAGCTCCCAGGACTGGTTCGTGAAGCAGACAACATGTCTGTCTTGAAAAGTAGGCTGAAAATCTTCTTCTTTGACAAAGCTTACAGGTAGACAGATTACTGTTAATAGCTTCTGCTTTAGGCTATGCTACTGGAAGACACTGACTCGTTTTATTCCCTTTTACAATTCCTTAATTGCATTATTTGCTGTTATTACAACTGCTAACCTGATCTGGTGCTCTGCTCAGCGGGATGCCTCAATGAACGAGGGCCTTCACTGGGCTGGTGCTCCAGTGGTTGAATGTTCTCCCTGTCAACTTGTGAACTTTTGCTCCTGCATCAGTTCTGTTATTCTTTCTGTGTCTCTGCTCTGTCTCCTCCAACCATCAGACGGTCTCGGCAGATGACTGCTGGTACGGAGCATGGTTCTGGTGGAGGTTTCTTCCTGTTAAAAGGGAGTTTTTCCCTCTCCACTGTTGCTTCATGCTTTTTAGTGAGAGGGATTGCTTGGGCTGAATCCGCATGTCAGGGTCACAACTGCTGGGCAATTAAACAGTTGTCTGGGATAGAAAACTTTAGAACTGAGCAAATATATAGAAATGTCTGTCCTGTAAAGTGCCTTGAGATGGCGTTTGCTGTGAATAAGCACTGGAGAAATAAACTGAATTAAGTTGACTGAACCTGGAACCAACTTCTAATATAAGCTCTTAGTAAAATGTTTAAACGCTTGTTTTTTAAAAGGTGAAACAGTTAGGTCTTTGTCTTTTCTTTTCCAGGAAGACAGTCATCACATTCAGCGTTTGAAGAAACTGACAGCTCATCATGGCAAATGTGAGCGCAGTTTTGAGAAGGCTTATGCAATGCAGACAAAGGAGGAGCAGGACAGAACATTAATGTTGCATCATCAACTGAACATGAAGGTTGGTGCTATTTGACGGCTAGATAACGTCGCAATAAAACAATTTAAAATAACAATCCAGCAGAGTAGAGTTTTAAGATGGGTTTCGAATGTTGTTTCTGCCTGTAACAAAAAATATCTAAGTGAAGGTTTTGGTGTAGCTCTTTAGTTGGACTGGAGGGTGGTAAAATAGATAAGATTTTTTGCAAGTTGACCTGGCACCAAACCAGTGCTTAATTCGGAAATGAAACGTTCCCGGAACGTAAAAAGTGACGTCACACCAAACTTCACTAAAGGCAAAATAGATGTCGTAGCACGCACGGGGTGGGGGTGGGGGGTTGTTCCGGTTGATTCACTGGAGTTTTTGACAATTAAAAATTGCGCCCACATTTTCAAGTTAAAACACATTTCTTTCAACAACAGTAGTTTTTGAATCATTACTGTTCCCCTGCTTCAGCCCTCCTCTTCTTGAGCAGCAGCCGCAATCTCTCTGGTGTTCCTGCAGCCTCAGAGTTCCTGCTGCTCTAAACATTGAAAGAATAATTTCATTTTCTGTTCCTCACTTCTGATTATTTGCAATTGTGTCTGTTTGTTGCAACCACCAGGTACAAAAATGAACTTGTTTTTATTTGACTATTTTTCTGTCCTGTCTCTGTTATCTTCCTGCATCTCCTCTCAATCCTAATGAAAAACTGCTACATGTCTTCATGTTTTTCACCTCATAAATTAACTGTAGTTTAAAAAGATCTACGGACCGCAAAAATAGCAGAGTGCGCACCGGCCGCACCGGTAAGGTGCGTCAGCGGAGGAGAAAACTGGTGATGCACTACGCTCCGCAGCAGCGAAACGCATCAGACACAAATAAAAGACAGAAATAATTAAAGGATATGAGCCGACATGAACGATCACATGTTAACTTTGTTTTTGGGGTGGCGAAACTTTGAGAATGTTACTGTGACCGTGCTCAGGACACATCTGTCTGGAGCGCGTACGAGCTCTGCGCCTCTCAGCTCTAAATAATCCCCGGAGAGTCCACATGAATAATGTAATATAAGTAGAACCAGGATCGTTTTGGGCTTCCGTACAGGGTGTGAAAGCAGAGGGCTGCCAGGGGAGCCATCCTTTGGGGTGAGCTGAGATCCCTTTAGCTCACCAGTAATTCGAACCCTGTGTATAGCACAAGTTGGTCGCGTGAGTTGCCGGATCCTAGCAGACCGTTGCTCAAACGGTCCTTTCAAAATAAGACAGTTCCCAGATCTTGTTCTGGCAAGATCCGGCTCAAATTAAGCACTGCGCCAAACCATACTTGCCTTGCTGCTACTGTCGTACTGAGGTTTAATATTTGTTTCCATCCCAACTCAGTTATTACATGCATTTTTAATAAATGTAACTGTAGTAAGTTAGCCTTGAATGGGATGCCTACTATATTTTGTTAGTCAAAAATGTTTGGTTTGTTTTGATTTACAGAGTTCCACTGGAATAGACATTCCAAAAGTTATTGCTAACCACTTCACATCATTCTTCTTTTTTCTTCACAAAATTAGGGTCATCATCTGAAAGTGAAGATACCATCACCCTTAATGAAACTCCACCTGATGTGATCCAAGATGACAGCGTTCCTATGCTCACAAGAACCCAAAGTGTAATTGTAAGTTTGTCTTCAAATGTTAATGTATAATCTCAATTAGGGTTGTCACGGTGTGAAAATTGAACCTCACGGTTATTGTGACCAAAATTATCACGGTTTTCGGTATTATCGCAGTATTTTTTTTAAACATGTTACATTTTCAGACAACTAAATAAACCCTGTATATCAGGAAAATATTGTCCTCAGTTTGTGTCTATATGTTGCCTAAAATTTGTTATTTTGTAATTATGTTGTTTATTTGTTTACATTTTTCCCCTTTAGTCTTTAAAATACCAATAGTTGCCCATAACTTTTTATTTTTTGTCTGTTGGATGTCATCATTTTAAAAATATTAGATCAGATGATACTCAGTACTCAAGTAGCCTTCTAATCAGATTCTCCAATAGCATATTTACCTTTATCTAATGTATTAATTATTCCATCGGTTGCTTCCATTATTGCAAGTGCTGTTGTCCTCTTTTCTCTGAATCCGTACTGACTATGGTCTAGTATTTCGTGTTTATTTAAAACGTTTTCTAGTCTGATATTAAATAGTTTTTCCAGGATTTTTGAAAATTGAGGAAGAAGTGATACTGGCCTGTAGTTGTTAAATAGATGTTTATTCCCATGCTTAAAAATTTGTATTACTTTAGCTTCTTTCATTTTCTGAGGAAATAAACCAGTTTGGAAGGATAAGTTAAATATAAAAGTTAATGTTTTAGAATAACATCAATAACTCTTTTAAACAACACCATATCAATACCGTCACAATCAGTGGAGACTTTGTTGTTACATTTATCAACAACTGATTTAACTTCCAACTCATCCACTGCTGAGAGGAAGATTGAGTCAGGGTAGGTTTTTTTTTAAATTTTTTATCAGTGGTTCACTTATTGTCTGTCTTTTTTGGCTTGGTATATTTGCTGCTAGCTCTGGGCCTACATTCACAAAATATTCATTCATTCTATTAACTACTTTTATTTTATCATAAATATCACTTTGATTATCAGTAAAGTATTCAGGGTATACCATTTTCTTTTTCCCACCATTACTTAATTTGTTTAGTACGGTATATCTCAAACACCTTTTAAGTTATTCTTATTTTCATTTAGGATTTTTCTGTAATATATTTTTATACTGGTTCTTATTATTTCAGTTAATTTACTTTTGTAAACTTTATATCTGATTTCAGTTCAAAGTTTAATAAAATTCCTATAAAGAATTGTTTTTCTTTTTACAAGCATTTTGGAATCCTTTAGTTAGCCATGGGAGATTTTTATACTTATGACTTCCATTAATGACCTTGACTGGACAATTCTTATTGTAAAGTGTCTTAAATATGTCAATAAATTTACTATATGCCATATCAACGTCATCTTCCCTATAGACTACATCCCAGTCTTGGGACATCAATTCCCCTTTAAATGCAGCAATTAAATCGTCTGTTCGTAATCTCTTATATATCTATTTCCCTGATTTTCTTTGACACCTACTTTCTTTAATTCCATTGCTGATGTCAAAATATACATATATAGGTCAGTGGTCACTAATATAATTTATTAGTATGCCACCTGCAATATTTTTTTCAACACAAATTGTAAAAATATTGTCAATCAAGGTTGCACATTGTGCCGTAATTCTTGTTGGTCGTGTGATCTTCTGGAACAGGGATAAGCTATACATCATGTCTAAGAAATCTTCAGTATGTTTATGCAGTTTTGACTTCATGAGATCAATGTTAAAGTCCCCACAGATGAAAATATCCTTTTGGCCAATTTTTGTGTACATTAACTCTATACAGGTTTTAAACTAATCCATATCCGATCCTAGGGCTCTGTATATACAGCTAACTAGTATATTGTAAAGGGTTAATTTACATTTATTTAATGAACCATAAGACGTAGGGCTGGGCGATATGGCAAAAATAGAATATCACGATTTTTCCAATATTTTATCACGATTTCGATTTTATCACGATTTTTTATCCATGGATAGTATAACTTCAATTGCGTATTAAAGAAGAGAAACATTGAATAAATAAACATTTATTCATATTAGGGATAATCAGCACAGTGCTAACACGCTTATATTTTAAACTCACACCAGAGATGATAAAAGCCCTGAGAGAAACAATTACAAAAATCAGTTTTTCTCGTTTTTCAAGTAACTCAACATAAATTAAAATCGTAAACATATTTAAAGTGCAAACATGTCAATTGCAAACGTATTGTGCAAACATTAACTTGTTAAAAATACTATGTAGCTCCCAGTTGCTCATGTAGTGGATAGTTAAGCTCAAATACGGCTCTGATGTGCGGCTGGACCAGAGATCGCTTGTGGTAGCAAAAAACTGCGCATTCTGAATATTTTCTGCAACAAGTCTAAGTAAAGTAAAATTTTCCAGTGCAGATTGGAGACAACCCATAGAAGCACTGATTTGATCTCATTTCAGAGAAAAATAGAACAGGTTAGATGCACCTAATAAATAAAATTACTAACAAACTCAAGAATGTTTCTTTGCTTCACTGTTCTGGTGCTGAAAATATCACTAATGCGGATCAAAGTAGATATACAGATGAATGCACCTCTTATTATTTGGAAACTACATTTACTGCAGCTGGCAGAGGCAGAGATTGTTTCTATTGATACACGGAATTTACAGAATCATTTTAAATTGTAATAGGGGAAGACTGAAGGAGGGAGCGGTAAAATACGGTGTCCCCAGCAAAAACAAGAAACTACGAGTCTGAGAAAACCCGCTGGTTTTCCATCAGGCAGTCACGGGGCAGCTCCAACGACCCAGTGGCCAAGGCGAGCTCAGTCCGGCTCGGCAGAGGGTGAACGAGCCGAGGCGATGTCGTGCTCTGCTTAAGAAGAAGTGTTATTTTCCTGCTTCAGAAGAAGCGTCCAACATGTTTTTACGCTTTCTCCGAGACATGTCACATCGCTAAGTTGTTAGCGCCGTGCGCTAAGGAAACCCTGCGTTCCTCTTCGGAACGAAAACCTCGTTGTCGCTCAGCCGCGGCCGAAGCCATGTTTGTTCACACACAGGTGAAAACAAGCGGGGCACTAATATATTACTATGACTCACTCTGATTGGTTAAGGGTCAAACAAAGGCGTGTCATTCGCCTGAGGTAAGTTCCATTTTCATTCAGAGGCAGAAATTCAACAGCAGAGCTGTGAATCGTGATAAAAGGTCTCTCAAAAATGACAGACCGTCATATGTGTAGATCGTAAAACGGTCTAAAATCGTCATATCGCCCAGCCCTAATAAGACGTAAGATTCCATAGTAAATATGAAATCAATCTTATGGATCTTTGGGTACTTTTAACCAGAAGATTGGAACTTTTTATTGCAGGGACTATGTAACACATTCGTATTAACTGAGAGACAACAGAAGAGCGAGTCACCTTTAAAATTTAAGATTTATTTCTAAACAATTTTAAACAAGATTAACTCTAAATTCTAAGTGAATGGATGGATCTTAGTGTGAATGAGACATGAGATGAGGGTTAGGGTTAGGCTTAAGAGCTATTAAATTCTTTATGGAGCACACCCTTTCGTTATTATCCTGATGCTTTACCAAGATGCACCAGCGGTAGACTCCCAGAGATCGGTGCACAGCCCGGAGGCCGGGCCTGGCCTGGTGGTTGGAGCAGGGCCTAGTCTGGTAGCAGGAGCTGAGCTTGTAGCCGGGCCTGGTCTGGTAGCAGGAGCAGAGCCTGTTGCTGGAGCAGAGCCTGGTCTGGTAGCAGGAGTAGAGCCTGTTGCTGGAGCAGAGTCTGGTGTAGTAGCAGGAGCAGAGCCTGTTCTGGTAGCAGGAGCAGAGCCTGTAGCCGGGCCTGAACTGGTAGCAGGAGCAGAGCCTGTTGCTGGAGCAGAGCCTGGTGTGGTAGCAGGAGCAGAGCCTGTTCTGGTAGCAGGAGCAGAGCCTGTAGCTGGAGCAGAGCATGGTGTGGTAGCAGGATCAGAGCCTGTAGCAAAACCACTGAGTGACAAGCTGGAGAGCTAGGGGGAATGAGTCTCTTGAATTGTTAAATTCATAATTATTCTTGGAAAGAGACCAACTCTTATCTGCCCCTGGGAACCCCGTAAGGCATAGTGTAATTTCAATATGGGGGTGTCCGCGACATGGTTTAAATGTAGATAGCGTGCATTGCGGCTGCTTTATATGGTGACTCGTTGCATTCTCCCTCAACCCAAATCCTCGGATCACACATTTTAGCTACAACGTTAACTTGCCTTGCATTGATTGTAGAGTGGTGGGTGATGGTCACGCAGATGTGTCATGAGATTTGAAGCGTTGCTGTCTTTCACAGACACTTTTTCCTGCACGTGCTGCAAACAGGATAGCCGTCTTCTATCAACTGTCCCTCGGCATTCTTCAAATATCCAAAAAATGCCCATACTTCCCACTTTGTCTTATTTGAGGGATAATAAATGTCCTGAGCGCTGCCGTCTCCTCCTTTGGCCATTATTTCAGCTTTAGCTTCAAGAAAGTTTTGGTTGTAAATAACAAAGTGCGCATGTGCCACCGGCAACTTCAGCAGACGATACGGTGGCTGGTAAGGGTCACCGCGCCTACACCGCAGCCATGGTAATCCACCGAGATAATACATTTTTTTAAAAACAAGACGATCATTATTATTGTCAACTTTTTTACCAGGGTTTACCGCTACACCGGTTACTGTGACAACCCTATTCTCAATCAGTAAGGACATAATTATGAATTGAAAAGAAAGTAACTGGACTTCTTGTCTTGAAAATGTTTCGTCTTTCTTCCAAGAGACTTCTTAAGAACTGAAAAGTCCAGCCCCTATCCTTTTAACTCAAGATTTGTCTTTTGTCAAACTAGAGCTGGGAGATATAAGACTTGTCATATCACGATACATCTTTTTTCCTTTCAGGTGATATATATATATATATATATATCACGATATAAGTCAAACTACTCTATATGTAAAATTTAAATGTGCCGTTGCTTTTAAGTAATATGTGAAATCATCAGAAATTTGTTTTGATTTAAATATTTAGTTTCCTGTCAAAGGTTCAGCAAAACAGTCGTACTGAGGGAACATAACAGATCTGTTTCAGATGACTAAAATAAAAAAGGTTCATATTAAAAACTAAAGTCAGGACTAAAGCGTTCTAGTTTACAAAGAGAACACAAAAATGACTTAACTGCTTGGTCAACTCCACTTAGAAACAAAATATCAATTCTAAAAATAAATCTCAGTGTACAGTAAGTTTTACAGGAGAATAGACATAAAATTGACAAACCTTTCGTCAATATCAAATGAATAAGCTAAGAACTAAAAGCAAATTATCCCAATCTGTCCTTGTATAGTTTTTTTAAATAGTTTAATTCAGTTGGCTATGAAAAAAGGAAGGAAGAACTATATTGCGATAGTCTCATTTTACTATTGAAAATAGGTTATATTGCTATACATATCATTATTGTTTCATTGTCCAGGCCTATGTCAAACTTTTACTGAATTGTATGAGATCTTCACTTGCTGTGACTCAGGAACACATTAAACAAGTTTTTTCCTGTAATCATCACCCCATCCATCACTCTTTACTAGGGCTGGGCGATATGGCAACAATAGAATATCACGATTTTTCCAATATTTTATCACGATTTCGATTTTATCACGATTT